AAAGCCCACCTGTTGAAAAATAAATGGGATGCCCCTCTTCCCCAAAACCCCCCCATAAAGCTCACCGGCCTTTAATAAGCACAGAATGTATCCTAGCCCATTGAGAGAGAATAAACTGTTCACAGTAAGGGTCCCTCCCCCTCCTCGCAAGGAGGCAATAAGAATATATAGGGTTTCCTCCTTATCCTCCTTCCACTTTCCCCACCCTGGTTCAGCACTGACAGGCAGCACCTTCAGCTCTGGGTTAGAAGAGGGCTCTGGTGTGATTCTGATTTCAGCATTCCCCCATCCCAGTCTGTCTGTCTCACCATATCATACACTTTGCTTCAATAACCCAGGGACATGGTTTGCACCCTTACTAACATCGAAGGTTAAACCAGTGCGTGCGCAGACAGTTGGGTTTACTTGGGGTAGTGGAGCAGAGCAGGCAGGTGTAAACTGACAGGGGTTCAGACTGCCCTAGGCCACCGACTTTTCCACCTTGCCCAAGCTGCCATGGCCCATGCCCTCACTTTGCTACTAAGAGGCAAAAAGCCCTTTCTTGACACAGCTGAGGGTGACTCCTCATACCCTCGACCTTCAGGGTCTCCCCTGCTGAGGCTGGAGGGATGAGATTGGCTCGAGGGGGGAGGCTGGAGGTCATTCACCCCACGGACCACCCACGACTCAGTGACCCAACCAGCAACAGAGAGAGTGGGGCAAGTTGCCTCTCTGACTGGGACACTGCAGAAACAGACAGAAGGTGTCACAAAATGGGCCAACACGCGGGCACAACTTGAAACTGGGTGCACTGGTTGGCCCCCTGCCCTACACGGGTCCGTTGTGTAACTTAGTGACCATCCACAGGTGACAATGAGTGAAGTTAGCGACAGGACGTTTCTAGGGCATGAGACCATCAGTGTACCAATGACTACCCCACCGACCCCAAAACCCCACCAACATTATCCTGCCCAAAAATGAAAAGCAGAACTCTGCGGGTTTGGGCTCAACATTAGACACAACTGAAATCTGGCTGGAAAGTTCCAAGATGGCCTCAGAAACTTGGAGGGGTTGGAGTGGGAATCTCTGACACCCTACTGACTGAAGGTGGGCTCTACGGTGGCCCTATTGCACAAGGCACGGTGAGCTTTTGCCGTTTTGTTGCTCCTAAAGTGAGAACAGTGGCAGGGAAGGAGGAAGAGGAGGATGAGTGAAGTGGATAGAGGGAAAAGAGGGGAGATCTCTCGCTCACTATCTTTCCGAGAGTCGAACAAAATACAAAGACAGACTTGACATTTGACCACCTAACAGATGCAAACACTTCAAGGAAGAAATTAGAAATTAAATCTTGCCCCATATAAGCTTTGAGGTTCAGCATCACTGCTCTGGAAAGCCTTCGTTAGAGCCCTACTCACAAAGGAGGAAAAGACACAACAGCTGCCTCGTTCATGTTTTTTTCCTTCTTCCTATCAAAGTCAGCTAACTCTCTCCGAGACAGTCGCTCGGGTATCTGCCGCCTCCTCTCTGCTTGGCCTCGGCACAGTCGAGATGACAGCCCGCTGATCACCCTCACCTCTCAGTTTGCCCTTCTCTGCGAGCTCAGTCTTTGAGGGCTCCTTTGGAAGCAGGTCGGCCTCAGGTCTGCTCCGTGGAGGCTTCTCCTCCATACACGCTCTTGCGCTCAAGTCTTTGGGTTCTGAGGGGCTCCTCCTGTCCTTGGAGCTCTCCGCCTCTTGCGCAGTCACCTCCTTCGGCTCCGAATCCTTGGGGTCAGCAGGGTGAGGGGGCTCCTTCTTGATACTCCTGCCTTTCGGGCTCCCCTCTCTCGCCTTGTGAATTACACTTTTAATGCTTTTCTGTCCTTTCCCACTTTTCTCTCCACCATCTGTCACCGACTGTTCAGGCTGGATGCCTTCCTTCACCACCGAGCTCCCCACCACCGGTATGCTGGTGTCCTCCTCGAAGATGCGGGTACTTTTTCTCTTTTTCAAGGGGGAGCTTTCCTCCCCCAGGTTCCTCTTTTTGATTGGCAAAACAGTCACTTCTTCAGGCTTGATGGAAGACTCCTTGATGATTTTCTTTTTGACGGCCGGTGCCACAATGCTCCCGCCAGGCTTTCGGCCCCTCTTCTTTGGAACAGCCTGGGGCTCAACCTCAGACTTCCTCTTCCTGCCAGGCCCGCCTTTCCGCACCTTCGGAAGTTGCTCCGTGGAAGACGTGGCTCCTTCGGCCTTCTGCAACAGGGGAGCCGAGAAAGGCATTTTAACCAGGAGCTTTGCCGCGCTTTTGTCTGACAGCCTCTTCGACGGGCCGCCTTTCTGCACCCTCTTGTCTTTGCCACTCCCTTTGGGCCTGCCCCGGCCTCTTCCGGTACCAGTTGACTTGGGGCTCTTTGGCTTTTTAGGCGGTTTCTTCTCTCTTCTTGAGGGGCTCCCTCGGCCTGTAACCGTGAAGTCAAAGTCGCTGGGGTCGAGGGTGGTATCTCCGACTTTCTCAAAGTGCGCCAGGAGCTCCACTTTGGAACGGAATGCCTTTCCTTGTGGGCTGAAGAACAGAAAGCAAAAGACATTTTTAAAACGGAGATGTGACATTTATACCCAGCAAAAGCACTTGGAAGCGGAAAAGTGTTGTGCAACATCTTAGCATCTAGTGACAGACACTAGCTTTGCCTTTCATACAGTGGGACCAAGAGGTTGGGTGGGCAGCAGTAAGGCAGAATCATTCAAGAGATCGACGAGGTGCGCGCGTGGGGGGAGGGAGGGGAATCGAGGTGGGCTCGCGCAGAGAGATCGAGAGGGCGCTGAGTGAGGGAGAAACGAAGCATGGGGATGAAGGAGATATTGACAGAGAGCGCGTGACCTGGTCTAAAGCATCAAATGGGCTCCCAGTCATTTTCTGTGAAACGTTAACCACTTCTCTCTCCATTTATAATTTTTGCATTTTCGGTTTTCATTCCCCTTTCATTTTCATTCTTAACCGATAGGAATGAATAGCATGATGCCACAGGAAGTAGGCCAAACAGCTCAGTCGTCCAAACCCACCAATATAAATTCCTATAATTTCTCCCTGATTGGACTTGCCTCACTTCCCCGTATTCTTTTTGCTTCAACCACTCTGAGGGAGCACGTTCCACATTTTCACTGCAATCTGGGTAAAGGGACTTTTGCTCAATTTCCCTATTGGATTTCTAGGGGAATCACTCATATTGACAGTCTCTTGCCCACTGGAGGAAACATTCTCTCTGTCTCCACACTCCCAAAACCAATTCCACATGTTATAGACCTCGATCAGGCCACATTTCAGCCTTCTTTTCTCCACCATCACCCTGATGAGAGAGGAGACCCAGCTAGTCCGTCCTTTCTAGTCACGTCCTTGCCACTCTTCTCTGCAACCTCCCCATTGCCTTGATAGTCTCTCTATAATATGGCCCCAAGTAAATGCTCTAAGTATGGGCCAGCCAGGGTTCCATACACATTTTAACACAACCTGACTACTTTTCAATTTGTTTGGCCAACTAATAGGCACTCTCCTCTCATAGTTTTGATGTTGGTTTTCCACTTAAATTGGTTTTCTTGCAAATTGTCCTGATAAGTGTGAAACTAAAAGTTTTGATAAAGTGTTTTTCAGAACTTTTTAACTGTATCCCTCAACAAAGACCAGCATTTTTTTTTTGTTTCACTTTACATTAAAAGGCACAGCTGATGAATTAGATAAATATCAGTCTTTTACAAAGTTCTTCCACACACCTCACCAGGTAAACAATACTCTGGATGATTTCGCTGAAAGTTTAGGAAGCCATAGGAATGCACTGACCAGGAAAGAGACCAGATTTGATCCTTGCTCTGATGAATCTCGACAGCAAGCATCAGTGCCTCCAGGTCAAGGATGTGACAGTCATTCAGATAGTCTTGCTCCTGGTCAGGTAAGAATTAGCCGTGATGTCTCTAGCACTTCGACGTACACAGGGTCGTGAATTGCATTTTGAGTCACAAATTTGCAGGAGATCAAACAAACAGATGGATTTCATTGATAAACTGCCCCAATGCGTGACAGAGGAGCACTGTCAAACATGATTTTACACCAAACCACAAAGGTGTTCCAACAGTGACTGAAAGCTTCCACAAAGGGATAGTAAGTAATGTCCACAGAATCCAAGGGCAGGTGAAATGTTGCAAGGAGGAAATTTTAGGGTGCAGGGTCCCAGGTAGCTGAAGGCACGGCCACCAATGGTGAGTGCTGGAAACATGGAAGCCGCGAGGCTGAAATTGGAGGAATGCAGAGTTTTCGAGGGCTGTAAAGAGTTACACAAATCAGGACAATATTACAGATACAGGGAGGGGAGTGGGGGCTGGAGCAGGTGACAGAGATGGGGGGACGTAGCGGGGCTGGAGGAGGTGACAGAGATAGGGAGGGGGCGTAGGGGGGCTGGAGGAGGTGACAGAGATAGGGAGGGGGCGTAGGGGGGCTGGAGGAGGTGACAGAGATAGGGAGGGGGCGTAGGGGGGCTGGAGGAGGTGACAGATGGGGCAGGGCGCAGGGGCTGGAGGAGGTGACAGATGGGGCAGGGCGCAGGGGCTGCAGCAAGTGAGAGATAGGGAGGAGCGCAGGGGCTGGAGAAGTGACAGAAAGGTTGGGGGGGGTGCAGTGAGTGGACTAGAGGAGGTTACAGAGATGGGGAGGGATTTGAAATCCATGATGAAAACAGTAAAAACTCAGATGCTACTGCACCTGGAGCTAACAGAGATCAGTGAGCATAGGATGGTGATGAGCAGGATTTGGTGAGAGTTGGGATCGGTTCGAATTTAAAGCAGGCATAATTTGGGAACTTGGCTAACAGAACAGAGGGATGGTCAAATGTGGTGGTAACAAAAGCATGGATGAGACTTTTAGCAGATGTGACCAGATCCCACAATGAGAAATGCTCAAAGACGAGAGGACACTCCAATGAACACATTTGAAACAGATGAAGTACAATTTTCACAGTCACTTACTTGATAATGTACACGTCGTACTTTCCCGCTGATCGGCCCGATTTCCTCTGCTTTAACTTCCGCGTCCAGCCCTCAGGAAGCGTTGGGTCATCATACAGTGGGCCCCGGTCTCTGATCAGAGAGCGCCTTGGCTTTGGAGTGGAAGGGGTGGCCGCGACAGCTCCCTCGTGCTCTGCTGTCTCGACTTTGCTCCCATCTGCTGGCTCCGGGACCAGAGCTTCTGTTGGCTGGGCTTCTCGATGCTTCTCGTCATCTCGCTCCTCCTTTTTCTTATGTTTCTTCACTTTCAGCAGCTTCTCCCTTTGCCCAGCCTGCTCGTGGTCCTCTGATTTCTCTTCGCTGCAATATTCAAGAAAAGAAAGTAACTTACTTTTTGAAGCAGAAAACTATATGCTGCAACTCACAGAAAATAACAGCAAATGTAATAATCCTTTCAGAATTTCCCCAAACAGCTACCACTAATAGGGCAAAACAGCCAGCCAGTGCAGGCTGCTCAATTCAGCTCACACCTGTCTGACAAACTCAGTAACTTGCCCATGGCATCAATGCCCTTTATCCCAATCCAGCAAACACAGCGGACACCACCGATGTTCAGTATATACTGCTGCTACTATCTATAGGATGCACTGCAGAAATTCACCAACAATCCTTAGATAGCTCCTTCAAAACTCATAACCACTTCCATTTAGAAGGACAGGGGAAGCAGACACATGGGAACACCAACGACTGCACATTTCCCTCCAAGCCACTCACCATCCTGACTTAGAAATAAATTGGCATTCCTTCAGTGTCACTGGACCAAAGTCCTGGAACTCCCTCGCCAGCAGCATTGTGAGTCGATCTATAGCATGTGGACTGCTGTGGTTGAAGAAGGCAGCTCGCCACCGTCATCTGACAGGCAACTGGGGATGGGTAATAAATGTTGGCCCAGCAACCAGCGATGCCTACGTTCCAGATGTGAGTGAATTAAAAAAAACAAGACCAATGTTCAAGGGATACAAATTCAAATCTCACCACAGAAGCTGATGGAATTTAGATTGAATTAATGAATCTGGAATTGAAACTAGCTTTAGAGGCAGTGATCATGAGACTTTGATCGATTGCTGTAAAATTCCTCTGGTTCATTTGGGGACAGGAAATCTGCCATCCTCATCCAGTCTGGACCATGTGACTCCAGACCCACAGCAATGTGATTGATCAAAATAAAAGCAACTCACTAGGCCATAAAAATATCGAAAATAATAATACTGTAAAATGCTGGATATCTCAAATATATATAGGAAATGCCAGAAATACTCAGCAAGGCAGATGAGACCTGCAGTAACAGAAACAGATTTAACAAGGCTGCCAGCCCACGGACATCCCAAAAACTTGAAAACAGGTTACCTAGATGGTACCCACATCGTTGCTGGTGGGATCTCGCACTGGATGGTGCAATCTGACAGTGACTACAACTCAAAAGATACAGTATATCAGCTGCAAAGCATTTAAAGATTACACAAGGTGGTTAAACAACTGCAAAATTGCAGGTCTCACCTTTCCCTTTTGTATTTTTTTTAAGGAACGTTTTCTGGCAAGGCCAGTACAGGTAGCTCTAATGTATCGTGTGTTTCATTAATGCAAATTGGCTGTAACACGATTGATGAATAGTGGATGCTGTTTGGATTATGCAAACTTTCTGCTGTACTGGTATCGCGATTTCCCTATAGTGCAATTTTCTACAGCACGAGGTCACACAAGATCGCAACTACCTGTATGAGTTTCCCATCCCTAGTTACTCGAGAAGTTGGCAGTGAGCCATTTTGTTTTAAGCTGAGATTTTCAATTATATCTCACTTGCTGGCTGGGAGGGGCACACGCTAGGCTCAGATGGGGTAAGGGGGCTGAACAAAATTATCTACACAGTGGTCCCACTGTTTACACTTAATTCACTTCTCTCCTCCATGCCAGCGGGCTCAACAACCCCTCCAAGCCATCTCCTTGCAACAGTGCCAGAAGAATAACATCTGAATAAAACAAATTCTTTAAACTGATTCTTTTGAAGGGGCTCCCAACAGCCTGTTGAGCTATAAAATGTGGTAATTCCCCAAATGGTTTAAGGGTTTAAAACTGCACTTTCCAATTCTGCAGCAACCTCCTATTGAGACCAGAGGTAGGCACCTTTACCCACTAAGTCTAAGGGAAATTGGCTTATCTTGGGCTAAAAGGCAGGCAAGGTATTACAGCCAACCGTGGCATGTTTTAGGCTTTGGAGCAGGAGGTGGGCGAATGAATATAATCCTGGAATGTGTGCCACGGGGACGGAGAATCCGTGCATGGTTGAATGGCATCCCAAAAAAGCCCCTGCCTAAATCTAACACAGACAGAACATAAGGCAGTAGGGTAAGAAAGCAAATCATACTCCAAGTACAACTGAACACAGGAATAAAAAATGCAAAATGGCGGATGTTAAGCCATCAACGGTAGGGCTGCCAACTCCGGATTAATCCAAACGTTGTACAATTTCCCACACCCTCGCTCTTTCTTTTTAGACACTGAAACAAAATACAATCACACTTGTGATCTTCTGTGTATTGGGGCTCTGAATTCAAGCAGACCTCAAAGCACCCCCACAAAGGAGCAGGGATAACAAAAAGACAAATGCAACAAAGGATTCCTTCAGTTATTGTATCACATTTGACACCATGAAGTACCTCTCAAGGAGATGAACGTTTCTCAAATATGCTACTTTATCTGCAGGTATTGATCTAAAGAGCACAGTGACTGGAAATCCAGTCCTTTCAGGATTAGGCACACATTCAAACAGTAGTTCCCCTTCAATAGGCCACAGACTGAATGGGAACAAAGACACTGCTTGGTCTGTGCAGTTGCTGAATGATTCAGACCTCATTCAGTCCCGTCATGAAAATCAATATTGCTCCTGTTGTTCTGCCCATTCCCATTTGACTAAGAAGCTACACCTCATTCCTCCATCTAATTCAGAAGTCCAAAAGGGTCCCCCTTATCTTGGGGTCACACTAGTCATACCTTGGCAACAGGTTAAGCTGCCTTAGCAGAGTCAGACATTAATGGGAACAGGCAGAAAAGTAAAGTTGAGGCCATGAACAGATCAAACCTGATCGTATCAAACAGCAAAACAGGCTTGAGGGGCTGAATGACCTCCTCCTGATCCTAGTTCTTGAATTCGGACCTTCTCAGTTCCAGGAAGGAGCTGCCACTCAGAAACTGGTTTTGTTCCCTCCCCACCCGCAAACAAAAGAACTGGGATAAATTACTCTACAAGAAATCAACATGTTCAGTTTAGATGAACTACTGCAGTCCACAAAATAGTTGACATGGTATCTTTGGATTTATTTCCTTGGTTTAAATGCAAATGCAAATGCAATACTCCAGAAAGTAATCGTGCAATGCTATAACCCGCAGACTACCTAAAAAGAACACAAGACAAACAGGAACGAGACAACTGTGCATTATATTAAGGGGCGAGGCTCTGAAGAGGAAACGTAGTTTTACGACAGAAATTAAATGAGTCACACGGGCCTACTCATTGCTGACCACCAAGAGAAAAACGATTCTGCCCGATAACTATTCTTGTTTTTCCATCAGCCCCCAACTCCTCCAAGTAAACGTCACTCACTCCTTCCAATTTCCCCCTCTTCCGTTGAAGGAGCAGATTCCATTGCACCAGGGCTGCCATTTCCTGGGAAGAATCTCAGTCGAGTGAGTCATACTCCATGAAACAAGATAGAGTCTAAGCTTCAACCTACAGTCACCACAGGAAGTGGAAGCTAGCCTACACACACTGCACACTGTACAACCTTAGGCACCGGCTGACAATTAGGGACCATATCAATAAATCCCCTTCCTTGTATTGTCGTGCTGATAGTGGGGATTCAACATTTATTGTTTCTTGTCAGAAATTAGTGAACTCAATGAAAACCAGGGTCAATCAATAGATCTAAGATAACATAGTGTGGAGCTGGAGTAATGCAGCAGGTCAGGCAGCATCAGAGGAGCAGGAAAGTTGACGTTTCAAGTCGGGACCCTTCTTCAGAATGTCGGGGGTGGGGGAGCTCAGAAATAAATAGAGGAGGGTTGGGCTGGGGAAGGCAGGTGGGATGGTGATAGATGAGTGCAGGCAGGAGTGGTGGAAATTGGTTAGTGAGGTGGGAGGAGAAGATGGGTGGGAGAGAAGATGAACAGGTTATGTCAGGTCAAGGAGACGAGGTTGGGAGGGAGGGTTGGTCATGGGATGAGGACGGGAGTGGGGAGATTTTGAAACTGGTAAAAATCCACACTTAGGCCATTGGGCAGTCGACTCCCGAGATGGAACGTGAGGTGCTGCTCCTCCGGTTTGTGGGTGGCATCATTGTGACACTGGAAGAAGCCCAGAATGGACATGACAACCAGGGAGGTGGGGTGGGGGGTGGAAGGGGGGTGGGGGGGTAGTTGAAATGGTTCCATAGATCTTTCCACTCAATACAGTGCAGTTCCACATTCTCAACAACGGTTAGAAACCCTAAAAAAAGCACCTGTACCTCTACTGAGCTTTGCAGAATCCCAGGACAGCCAAATGCAAATTATACCTAAGAAAGAGCCACAGAGGTAGGTTTATAAATTATCAATTTAATATTTAATGTAGGTGTAAGGTCATCTATCCCCAAATGCCCTCAAGGAAGTGGTTGTAAGCTGCTTTCTGCACTCCATCTGCTATAGGTATGCCACAGTGCTGTTAGGGAACAATTTTAACTAGAGTCAGTAAAGAAACAGTGACACACGGTTCCAAATCAAGACGGTGTGTGGCTCAGAGGGAAACCCGCAGGCCATGGTCATCCCATGTATCTGCTGCCCTTGTCCTTTGAGGCAGTAAAGTCTGCAGGTACCGGAGGCACCGCCTGCATTGCCTCTTGCAGATGGGACACACTGCAGCCGCTGCACACTATGTGTACTATCTACAAGCTGCACTGCAGAAATTCACCAAGGTTGCTCAGACAGCACCTTCCAAATCCACGACCACTTCCATTTAGAAGGACATGGGCAGCAGACATATGGGAACACCACCACCTCCAAGTTCCCCTCCAAGCCACTCATCATTCTGACTTGGAAATGTATTGCCATTCCTTCACTGTCGCTGGGTCAAAATCCTGGAATTCCCTCCCTAATGGCATTGATGGTCAATCTACAGCTGGTGAACTGCAGCAGTTCAAGAAGGCAGCTCACCACCACCACCTTCTCAAGGCCACCTAGGGACAGGGCAAGAAATGTTGGCCAACCACCCAGCAACACCCCCATCCCACAAATGAATAAAAAAAAGGATGGTGAATTACGTGCCGATAAAGCAGGCTTACATTGTCGTGCACTGCTTACATTGTCGTGCACGCCCACTCTCGCATGATTTCTCCAATTGAAAAGGCAGGCAACAAAATCTGTGCAAATGTCTCAAAATCAACCAACACCCCAACTGTGAGCTACAGATGAAATATGCAGCACAGCGGCTCAGTGGTTAGTACTGCTGTCTCACAGTGCCAGGGACCCAGGTTCAATTTCACCCTTTGGTAACTATCTGTGTGGAGTTTGCACGTTCTCAGTGTCTGCGTGGGTTTCCTCTAGGTGCTCCGGTTTCCTCCCATAGTGTCCTTGGATGTGCAGGCTATGTGGATTGGCCATGCTAAATTGCCCCAGTGTCCAAGGCTGTGCAGGCTGGGTAGGTTAACTAAATGCCGGGTTACAGGGATAAGGCAAGAGGGTGGGTCTAGTTGGGATGCTCTTCGGAGGATCAGTGTAGACTCAATGAGCCAAACATACAGATTTTATGATTCTATGGTTAAAGGTCAAGCAGGAGAAATGCACCTATAGAAAGCAAACATTGTTCTATTTCCTGTATTTCCATTGGAAACTCATGTCCACATCTCTGTGATCAAACTACCTATGCAGGATTCGTCACAGTGCAACAATTTCCTCTGTCAACGATAGAGTAACAGCATAACCCAGGTTATCCCCATGAACAGGTCACAGGAAGAACGGCAGGCATCGATAGCAAGTATGAACAGATGTTGGATTTTAATTATCAGTTATCCTGTCATTCAGAGATTTAAGATGTATATAGCTCTTTTGAAACCTCTGTTGCACTCTGGGTCAAGAGGTTGTGGATTTGGTTCAAGTTCCATGCCTGGAGCTCGAGGCCATTATCTAGGCCAGCACTCCACTATATAAAAGAGGGTGTGCACTAACGTCAGATGCCCCACACTACGCACAGGACGCTCAATGGAGGCCATGCCAAATGCTTTCCACTGGTTCAAACTTTGGAAAAAAATAATGAATCCAGCGCTTGGCCAAAACTTCCTTCCTGATAAATTATAATTGCATGAACCAGTCAGCATTGCTTTACGTAAGATGGCTGCCCAGTTTGCCAGCATAAGCCACTGCACTTTCAATTTAACTCATTATCCAAGAAGTGCCAGAAAAATATGATGATGTGCTTTTTAAATAGATGTAGTAAAATTAAACTAACATGGTTCAGTTGGTGTTGTAGCAAAGAAATATTCTATATTTGAAAGTCAATGCTCAGTGTTAGAGAGCCGATGGACCACGCACTACCCTATTAGCTCCTCTCTCCACTATAATGCCAATTTATGTAAATTTTAAGTTTTTTGAGAACCTGAGTCCACAATGCAAAAATGACCCATTTCAGCACCAGAGCAGAAATCCTGCAGTCACTGCAATGGACAATTGTAAGCAGGAAGGCTCTGAGATTGGAGTCAAGGCAATACTGGTGGAGGAAGCAAAGAGGGAAAGGTTACACTGAAAATAGGCATGCTATCTACAAGGTGCAGGGCTGGATGAACACAGCAGGTCAAGCAGCATCATAGGAGCAGA